CTAAGTCCCCTTCTAAGTCATTTGCAACCAGCTATACCCCAGCTGGCTTGCCTGATAGCAGAGGGTCTGAGACTCTATCTGCACCCCCCCTTCACCTTTGTTTAACTTATAATTTCTTTCTCAACCTCTAGATGTCTCTCTGCCGTAGCTCAGTCTCACACAGCCTTTCACTCCTTCTGACTCTGTTACCAAACTTCTATGTTTTTTGCTTTAAAATTTTCTTCAAAGTTAGCCTTTCTTTTCTCTAAGAAAAACAACAGGGGGAATTCCTTGGCCTCTCTGCTACATCCAGCCACCAGGTGGTAACCCAAACCATCACATGGCAGAACAGGCCTTTCCTCCGCTACTTCTAAATCCGCCGTTAATGCCTTTTCCCCTAACAGGAATGCCTAGAACAACAGTGTTTGTGGTTTTCAACCCAAAATTTTTTACTTTTGTTTAAATGTCTCATTTTCACTCACGATATATTCTCAACAATTTTTTTCAACTTTTAAAATTTCTTCAAGGTGTGAAAGTCATCTAAATTTACTTCCACGGGTTAAATCAAGAAGCTGATCAACATCTTTCAGCTATTAATTAACAACTAGTTTCCTTTTACAGACAAACTGTTGGTGCCTACATAATTAATATGATTTTCTTCCACAGTCAGCTAAAACAGACTCAAAGGTGACTTCTAAAACTGAAATTTCTTCAAACACCTTTGCTTTCTAGGATCTCAATGACACACCATGACGTACCTGATCCCAAGTAGCCTAATGCTTGCTACCCCTTTACAGACATCCCCCTGCTGGGGTGCCGCTTCTCTGTTGTGATTATTCTACAGGTGCTCCCACAAGTCCAGCAGAGACTTATAGAGCCTCCTGGAACCTGCCTAGGATGCTGTGCTGTCTTCTTACAGCCACACCGCCTGACTACAGATTCCAGAGACACATGCCAAGATCCAGAGATGCTGAGTCCTATGGACAGATTCAGACCTTCCAGCTACAAATGAACTCTTTTGCCAAAGTCAAATAGCTAAAGTTACATGTTAGTGAGGAAAACGTAATGTCTATCTAGATTAGTCAGATATTACTACCCTCAAACTGTACCACCTAAATTCAATTGATTCAATGATCCCTTACCTTCCCTACCGCCCCCCCCACTCCCCTTACCCTGTGACGTAATCATGCTAATACCTCTGGCCTACATTAGTATGTAAATCCCTAGGGCCTGAGGCCTATAGCCTGGCCTATGTGACTCTATGGAGATCTATGTGACTGCTTTTCAGGATCCTGGATGATGGGAGGGACCGAACTCCTGCCGGTTCTCACGCAGAATTCCACAGAGAATCTTGGGGTTCTAGGCACCTGCTCAACCATGACCCAGGATACCCTTACGCAGTCCCACACAGATTGTGTGCATTTTTTTGTATGCCTTTCAAGTGGCTCTGGGAAGTTCTGCCTTCTGCCCTGGGATATCTGTTCCCTCTCCCAGGAAGTGTTCTTTATTCTCTCAAAGCCTAAATTAGGCCATCTTGAAGGTGGGAATGCCCTGTGCAAGCCACATGCCTTTGTCCTCTAACCACAGAGCATGGAGGCAGGAGCTTTACTACTGGGATGAAGAGTTAAATTGTGAGTCACCATCCTCTGCACCTGTGCTGTTATGCCCGATCCTCCATCTCTATGCATTTCCCTGAGAAGACTGCTCAAGGAGAAATCCAAGCTTGGGTGGTAGGCTGGCGGTGTATCTCCTTGTTCCTGTTTTGATCCTTGTTCTTGTTTTTATTCCTGTTCCTGTTTGTGTTCCTGTTTTGTGGGGAGTATAAAAGGGAGCTATGCAGTTGAAAATAGAGCATTTGGTTCTTTACCAGATGACTCTTTGTCTTTCTTTCTCTCGCCCTCAGCCCTCCGCCGATCCAAGGAACTCAGTCAGCTATGCTGGCGTAGCTGACATTAAATGACGAGTTTTCCATATGAGATTCTGCACTTTTTCTCTCTATTCCTACCCAGATCCATCATCATGGTAACACAGTATGTGTTTCAGAGTAACCCTTTAACTTTTTTTATGTATATGGGTTCTTTGCCTGTATGTATTTCTATGCACCATGTACACACATGGTACTGGTACCAATGGAGGCCAGAAGAGGGAATCAGATCTTCTAGAACTGGAGAAACCAGTTCTTAATTGCTGAGCCATCCCCCTAGCCTTTAAAAGTAACTCCCCTTTCTTTGGAAACAACAAAAAGCGTCTATTCATATTGCTTTTTATAACACTGTATTATAATTACATATATCTTTTGCATACAGTTTTTACAAGCTTAATTAATAAATTAAACTTCAACATAGGTAAGCATGCATAATAAAAAAAATTAGTGCTTGTAGTATTCAGTACTGGCCACAGTCTCAGCCATCCACCAGAGGGTCTTTAAATATTTGCCTTACATATAAGAGGGAAATATTGTTTGTGATTAATAGGGAATTCACACCTCTCCTTTAGATGTAATATTGATTTTCACAATTGATTTCTTCCCCCTTCTTTCCAGCAGGCTTCCTGCATTCTTTAAAAGCTGCGGCAGCTCCTAAGTGCTGTCTTTGTTCTCACAAAATCCTTATTAATTATGCAGTTGACCTTCTCTTATGTTAGCTGTAATAATGACAGGCTGTCTGACATTCACATAGCAAAAGGGCATCATGTGTTTTCATTCTTGTTAAGATAGCTCAGTGTAGCTATCTGAAAGCTCTGTTCATTCAACATGGAAACACTATCCCTTTTTTCCCTTTTTTATTTAAATTTTTTCATACAATATATTTTGTTCATATTTCCCTTCCCTAACTGCTCCTAGATCCTCCCACCACGTAACTACCTTCCTCAAAAGCAAAGAAGGTAGAAGAGTAGGGAGGGGGAAGTCACAGATTCAGGATGGAACTGGAGTGTAGTACCTGAGGGCCAAATGTACCTTGGAGGACTCTGGAGATTTTGGGAAGTTTGTCTTTGACCAATGAGTTCAAGTCCATTAATAACAATGGGATTAACAATGATTGGACTTCTTTAGACCTACTCTGTAGTGGCGTGGCTAAGTTTCTTTGAGGATACCTTTTAAGGTCAGGAGTCATTTTATGTTCAGGTACATTGTTCACACATGCACAAACAGGATTACATATATGTAGACATACAATGTATATGCATCTATACTATGTGTATACATTGTACTAGTTAATTGTCAAAGCCCTATGATATGAAGTCTTACTTTCATAGACCACTGGGATTCATTGCATTGCATGGCTGGTATTTAAAGGAGTAAGAACTCATTTCTTCTCAAATGTTTAGACTTGCTCCAAACAATTGTTCTCCTTCCAGAACATTCATCCAAGTTCAGAATATACTAGACATGTCCTTCTAACAGTAAAGGATAAAGTCCCCAACCAAATACCCTTAAGCATCAGCATAAATGTACTAACTTATAGGAAAGGAGAGATGATTTTAGGTCAGCTGCGAGACTCAGGCTTTCTTATAATGTTCCAAAGAAGTATTCTCTAGCACCTGGGCACTGAATTCCTTTGTGCTAATTTTATCCTTGGACAGGTTGTCAGTGAGTCAGATACAAGAGATGAAGGAACAGATGTTTGGTTCTGTGACTTTCTTGGCATCCTCCACCCAGAGGAAGAAATCAGAGACTGCCAAGGTGCCCAGAAGCTGAGCTGTGCAGCCTACTTATTTTTTCTTAGAATTCCAAATAGCTATTGTGGAGGTTTGAATGAAAAATGTACCATGTAGGCTCATTTATTTGAATACCTATTTCCAGTTGATAGCCCTGTTTGGGGAGGTCATAGAACCTAAGGCCTTGCTGGAGGAGGTCCGCCACTCAGAGTGATGTCTAAGGGTTTCTAGTCTTCATCTACTTCCTTCTTTGACTTGGTTTCTTACGTTAGAGGAAATATGATCTTTCCATTTCCTGTTCCCACTGCTATGCCTTCACTGCCTACTCTTCTATCTCTCTGGAACCATAAGATAGAAAAAAATTAATAACCTCCTTACACTGATTCTGTCAGGGTATTTTATCATGGCAACACAAAAACAACTAATATAATTCTTCTGATGCTTCTTCATGAACAAATCTCTGTCTAGACCATCTTCCAATCTCTCTTCCCAGTTCTCTCTGTGTGCTTTTCTTATGGCAGATGGCATGAGAGTGACATAGTAATCAGGAATGCAGCCAATGAGGTTCTGACTTTGACAAAGTTTTAAAACGCTAGGTTATTGGCTTTAATACAGCAACACACAGGAAGTGCCTGCCTTCTTTCCCAGAAGTGGTTGGCATTCTCAATGCCTGTTTTATTCTGTTTATCTGGCACTCTTTCATCCATGTGCTAACTGACCCTCCTCATTCCTCTAACATGCCTTATCTCCAAACCTGCATACAAGCACACAGGGCAGAAATATGTGACTCTAGCAAGAATGAAGTGGGGCTTGAGAAAGTTCCAGTAGGCAGTGGACATGTGAGATGTGTGAGGATATGTTGAGAAAGATCTGTTAGAAGCAAGTGACAAATGGCCTTGTTCAAGAGCAAGCATGCACTTTCCACAAAGCACATTTTTCCTGTAGCATCCCAGAGTGAACCCACAGTCAGAGACAGTGGGCCAAAGGAGGGGGACTACGGGTAGAGGGTCCCTGAAAAGTAGATAGTTAGAGCAACACATGTTTCTCTGATGGACTTCAGCAATGGACTATTTAGAAATGGGACCATATTTATGATTGTTCTAGGCAAATTTTATGGGAATCAATTCTCAAATAAATTTCATTATTATAGCAATCGTCTCATATTTTATTTGCTTTTCAGGGCAACCCACTGTATTCATCTTCATGCTACAAGACTTTATTCATCTTCATGCTACTATAAAGGCGCCAAGCAAAATCTGGAAAGGCAAAGAAGAAACAGGGAGTCCGTTTTAGAGTGTTGCCTCCAACAACATCTCAAAGCTGGTGTCAAGCATGAAGAAAGAATGGTCACCAGAGGACTAAGGGTATAAGAAAGGCAACACATTTACTAAAATTGGAACTATACAGAGAAGATTAGCACAGCCCCTACACAAGGATGACACAAATTCATGAAGTGTTCCCTATTTTTAACCCGGACCCCTCAGAGCTCCCAAAGACTAAGCCACCAACCAAAGAGCATACTTGGGCTGGCCTGTGGCCTCCACTACATATGTAGCAGAAGACAGCCTGGTCTGGCCTCAGTGGGAAAAGATGCCCTTAATCTTGTAGAAACTTGATGCCCCAGGGAAGGGGGATGCTAGCACGATGAGGTGGGAGTGGGTGAGTGGGTGAGGGAGCACCCTTTCAGAAGCAAAAGGAAGGGAGGATGGGATGAAGAACTTATGGAGGGGGGGACTAGGAAGAGGGCAACATTTAGAATGTAAATAAATAAATTAATTAATTAAAAAGAAAGGCACATAGAGCAGAGGTGCAGCCAAGAGTTTTCTCTTTTTCAGATATTACCTTTCATCTATCTATCTATCTATCTATCTATCTATCTATCTATCTATCTATCTATCTATAATCTATGTTTTATCCTATATATCAATATTTATCATATTGTATATAATAAATAAAAATATAATGTATATAACTCCTGCATGTCATTTATTATTATATCTGTCAGAGACCCTGTTTTTTATAGAACCTACCACATCTGCACCTCTATGTGTCTATCTATACATATGGTATTGAATGATTTGTTTGTGTGTGTTGTGTTTTCATGTGTGTGTATGCAAGTGTATGTACCCCTTGTTCACAAGCAGAGTCCGGAATAGGTTGTTGGCTATCCTTTTCTATAACTCTTGCCTTAATCTTCTGAGACCAAGGTTACTCACTGAACCTAGAGCTAGACTTGTGACTGGCAAGTACCAAGGATCCTCCTGTTTCTACCCCTCCCACCATAACACCGACTATGTTGTTGGCTTAGGTATTCTCTATAGTGTCCTTTCTGACATTGTTTAATGTTTTACCTTTTGTACATATGAAACTAGGCTAGTGTGCCATAAAAGAGTCTGCTGTATTGTACCTGCAGCCTCAGATATCTTGTATTTGTCACTTGCATCACTTGCATCTTTGCATCAAGACGCCATGTCAATTGGCCTGTAACATCTGAGTATGTCAAATATTAGATGTCGTGTTAAAACACAGGCAAAATGTGCTTCTGTTATCACTGTTATCTGTTATTAGATGTAATGTTAAAACAAAGGTAAAATGTGCTTCTGTTATCACTGAACATCCTTTACGAATTAATACAATGAAGGTAGAGGGTGTGAATGACAGTGGACACTGATGTGTCTCCAGGGCAATGGAGAAAACAAGTTTGTGAGGAGAATAGAATGAGCCTACAGGGATCCAGGGACAGGAAGCTGGATGCTGGGAGGCTGTCACTGTGCTAACACAGAGAGAAGAATTTAAAAGGTCATCTGGCTTCTGTGTGGCCAAGTGGAAAGACAGGGAAAGGCATTGTTTGTTTTAAGGAAGATACCAACTAAGTACCTTCATCTTTCGAAGGTCTTAGTACTTAGTTCTTAGTAAAGAACTAGTGAAAGGAGCAGAGGTGGAACAGGCAGGGGAAATAGTTGGAGCAATCTCTGAGTGGAAAAAGAGACTTGGGGACCATCAGATATGAACTAGCTCGTCCTTGGGAAGATACATTTAGATTTAAACTCCCTGAAACTTTCTCTCTCTTCCTCTCCCCACTCTGAGGCTATCTTATGTGCTCTTGCTTAGGCTGCAGTTTACAGACAAAGAACCCAGTGCCTCAGACATTTTTCCTTCCTTCCTTCCTTCCTTCCTTCCTTCCTTCCTTCCTTCCTTCCTTTCTTTCTTTCTTTCTTTCTTTCTTTCTTTCTTTCTTTCTTTCTTTCTTTCTTCTTTTAACATGTATGATTATTGTGTCTGCATGTGTGTGTGCCACATGAATGCCATGCCTGAGGAAGCCACAAGAGGGCATTAGATCCCTCAGAACTGGAATTACAGATGGAAACCAGTCACTCTGTAAGTTCTGGGAATTGAACCCAGGTTCCTTGGAAAAGCAACCAGCTTTTTTTTTTTTTTTTTTTTTTAACTGCTGAGTCATCTCTCCAGCCCTCCAGCCTCAACTTTCTCCTTCTCAACGTGGATCCCAAGGTGAAGGGCAGTGGACTCTTAATGATTCAGAGAGTGGAGAGAGAATGCATGGGACTAAATCTCCATCAGATGTAGTTCTCACATGGAAAGAGGGCCAGGAACTTTCAACCTGGGGGCTAACATGAGCTAGAAGACACATGGAGTCCTGTCGTAGCAAAAAAAAAAAACCTATTCTGAGTATTAATTTTTCATACAAATAATCAATAACCTTAGCAGAAATTTAGAAAACACTAAAAGAAATAAGATATACATGGGTTATGAAATAGAATGCCATTCCTAGAGATTGAAGAAGTAAACTTGGAGAGAATTCTTTGTTGCTAACAGACTATTTTAGATTAAATTCACCAGGATATTAGGTAATACCCAGCCAAAATTTCCCGATGTTAGAAATGCTCTGATTTTGTTTAAGTCTCTATAAATGCTTTAGAAGAGCATATGCTAAGAGCCCAGTTGCAAGCTAGTGAGATGGTTACATCTGTGCTCCCAGCTTCTTAGAAACCTAAGGCAGAAATACTGTAAGTCTGAGGCCAGCCTGGCCTATATAGGTAGGATTTGTCTCAAACTATAAGTGGTAGAGTTCTTATCTGCATGCGTGAGGCCTTGGACTCAATACCCAATATTGCAAAACCAGACAAACCCAGTTACGTTCTACTTCTACCTATATCTATCTCTCAAGTTAGTTGTTGGTTAAATTCATTGTTATCATAATTAGGATGCTTGTTATACCCTATCATGGAGATGCTGAGATGAATGTATTCCAGCTTCCGCTTTTCTGTCAGACACAGATAAGGTAGTGCCCAGAAAGAAAAAAAAAAACCCAACACTGTAGACTCCTTGGTCCACACTGGACGTCCTAGGAGACAAGCATGAGAATGTCAGTCTGACAGTGTCGTTTGCCTAGACGTTCAGTGACTGGAAGATCTATGGGTTTCTAATCTAGAAGGACGTTCTCAAATGGGAGCACTCAGCAGTTTCCTTTCCATGCACTTGTCTGTGCTCACAGTGCTCCCAGGCTCATTAGAAAATCACAGTGGATTGAGTCCACGTATTCCACAGGCAGAACTTACTGAAGACCCCAGGCTTCCTGTGTTGCCTCCCCCTTCTGATTCCCAGTGGTAGTTTCTGCAGTTTGCTCCAAAGGCTAGGGCCGGTATTAGAGTTCTTATCCTAAGGGTATGCTTTGGAGGTCAGGGCAAACCAAAGCAGTCTTTACATGTTGGTTACATAATGAGAAGCCAAGATGGAAACACAGTGCAAAATTAAGAAGCCACAAACTTGTTGGGACAGGTGAAGGAGGAGATAACATTTCTTTTTTAAAGAATTATTTTTAAGGATTTATTTTCTAAGTGTTTTGCCTATATGTTGCTTGTATACCACATGGGTACCTGGTACCCACAGAAGCCAGAAGAAATTGTCATCAACTGAAACTGGAGTTACAGATGGCTGTCAACCATCATGTGGGCACTGGGACTAGGACTTGAGTTTTCTGAAATAGCAGCCCATGTACTAAGTCACTGAGCATCTCTTCATCCCTGAAGAGCACTTTTTAGAGGTCCACAGGGGGAAGGAGCAGGGACAGGGACAGGGACATGAGCAAGAAATTCTCTACAAGTCACCGTGATGAGACAAACAGGACAGAGCACATGAAAGGGTACTAGATATAGGAGCACTTGGTTGTACTGGGAAGCAGTGGAATTCTCTTGGGGATTTAAAAGTATCTACATGGGGAGATGTGGAGGCCAAGAAACCCTGTGAGTCTGCTCACCTCCAATACACTACAATTCCAGTTCAGCTGTATTTAGAGTAGCACACAGAAGCCACAGATATGAACACTGAGCCTCATTAAGAGTTCTTAGATGAACTCTCTTCAGCAGCACAGAGAGGCTCCAAAAGACATGAGAAAGGCCCACAGGAAGCATCCCTTTCAGAGGACCAAGTTTTAATGTAAGTCACTCTGAGTGACCAGATTTGGCTAAGCACAGTGCACAGGGAGGGTTATGTGGGGTAATCAGGCACTTACCTTTCTGGGAAAAGGGGCTGAAAGAAATGGAGCAGGATCCTGGGAACGAGACAGTGTGTCCATACCCAACTGGAAAGTTTGCTTTCAAAATCAGGTGAGTCACATAGAGTGATGGGCAGAAGAAACCCAGATGACAGCTGTCTCCAGAGGCTTTGGGATGCAGGGCATGGAAATGGCTTCATGCTGCTCTCACTGGACTGGCCCAGCCTCATGAAGAAAATATTGCCATGCTTGCCTGAGATCTTACCGCCATGGCTTTAATAGCCGTGAGTCAAGGTGCAGAATTTATTCAATATTGAAAAGGAAACTTCTTGGATTTATTCAGGTGCATGCCAGATGTTGTGTTAGCATTGGCCCCACAAAGAGAGACGCCTAGAAATCAACTGCAGGCCCTGGGATCTCACACTCTTTTCTTCAATTAACCCTTAGGAGCCCATAAAACCATAGAAACCAATCCTAACACCATCCACAGCCCAGAGGACTGGCAGTTACAATATTTACTCATTGCTGTAACACACAGATCTATCTATACCCAAGGCATAGCAAATAGCAAGTTAGATATAGCATGATATGTATGTTTTTATGTTGTAAAGAACTCAGTCAATGTACCAGGATAATTGATGACAGTCTGCATGTTGAAATTTACTTCTCTAACTTCTAAGTACTTTACTGGGGAAAACAATCAAACATGGCCACATATTTTAGAGTTTCCATAGTTGCAATGAATGAACTGAAAGCTCAAGGGAGGCAGGGACCACACTTCTGGTTTCCCAATGGTTCATGATTCTACCCAACTGACTAGGTGAAACACATGACAGATTGCCCATCAATGCTGCCTGTAAAGACATTCCTTAAAATATCTTCTGGATTTCATAGTTTTCTCAGAACATCTCTGGAATTTGCCTTTCTCATCTCTAATATAGAAGACCTTCTTGTAC